GATGGATGGATGGATGGATGGATGGATGGATGGATGGATGGATGGATAGTATCATCACCGCAATGTGATCTCAAATCCCTAAAATAAAGTCTTAACCCCAAAAGAACAATTTTATCATCATATGGACAAAAATTTGATATTCAGAATTGGTGTCCTGGTAGGTTTTGTACCTCTTGATAATAATACAGAAACAGTGCACACACACACACACATGTAAGAAGCGAGATCATGTTTCCAAGCACATTTTCCTACCTGCAGAAGTTGGGTTCTCACCATCTGTTCCTGCAACACAGAGAAGAAGAAAAGGAGGGGGAAATGTGTTAGCTTTTTCACAACTATGTCACAGTATTCAGGACCTCAGCTGTATTTAACACTGCTGAATCGACCTCACTGTTAACCACACTGCACTCCCATATGTGCATTTGACATGTAATTCACCGGAGCATTAAAGTACGTAAAGCCAGATGCACCTGCTATCTGTAGTTCCCAGCATCCTGCCAACAGAAATGCTACACTGCTGCCACAAAACAAAACCTGGCACTGTGTCAGAGCATATTCCCTATTTAAAAACTCTGTCCTGGTCATCTGGCTTTGACTAATATGTGCTCATCATTCTGAACCACTGCAGGATTAGCCCCGGTGCCATACATATTTGCTTGCTCCAGCTCCCAAGCCCCAGTCCAGCTACATGGCTGAGATTTGGCCTGTCTGCCATCATTAGTGCCATGCTCGATCTCCATCATTACTCATGAAATTGCTCCAAAAAAGTGCCTGAAAGCTGCATGCAGATACAGAGGCACTAGACCAAGGGCAAGAAATTCTGGGGGGAGGGGATGACCTGATATGTGTTGTTGTAGATGGATGGATGGATGGATGGATGGATGGATGGATGGATGGATGGATGGATGGATGGATGGATGGATGGATGGATGGATGGATGGATGAATATAGATGAACTCACACAAACAAGACCTGAATGCTCAGGATATGCCGCTCTGCGGAACAAATTAAATATGCATATCTTTTGTTTCTTAATGCAGCTAATGCCACTGCTTACCAGTGCTTGCATAATTAAATTGAATGCCAATTAGACATTAGCATATATTAAGAACACATCAATCAAAAACCAGACAGCAAGATAGTTAATTTTGTTATGCAGCTTAAATGTATCTAAATCTATCATTAGAATGTATCACTGCAATTGTCTCTTTAATCTGCCATTTTTAGTTTGTGTTGCGTTGTGGTCTGCCTGGTCCCTGACATGCATGTTGTTTGGACTGTATTCCTTAAACTAGCAATTCAGTAGCTAATGTTTGAATAAACTTTGGCCATCAGTGGAATAAATAACTTCAATGTTTGCAAGAGAATCTTGAAACTATAGAGAAAAGGAGTCACTTTGACACAACTGTAATAAACAGACAGAATTAAAGATTGACCTGCAGCCTTTCTCGCAGTTTGACAGTGAGACAAAGCTTTAACTAAAGTCATACGGATCCAAAGCCAAGCACTTTGTCAGCCTCTCATCTGTCTGGCAGTAGAAGCTCCCTTTTGTCTTTTCCCATGCTCACAGGCCACTGTAATCCCGAGCACATTCCACGCTTCACTTGGTGTGGTTTATTTCTGCCTTTTTCTCCTCTCTTACCATAACGGTCAAGGCACACGTTCAAATGTTCTTAGATGGGTACTGTATGCACACATAATTAGGAACAAGCAAATGGAAAGCAAGTAAAATAAACAAAACATACGCCTCAGAGTGCAGACATCTATTCACACCCACGCAAAAATATGCATGCCGACAAGATAGAGAAGCAGAAAATCAAGGTGTTTTTTTTTTTTTTTTATACAAGTGTTGAAGTGGTGAATCATAAGAGTGCATAAAAAAAACTTTGTGAACAAAACACTTGGCTGGTGTTCATGAGTGAAAACACCTCGTGTGTGCTGAATCACAAAGCTCATCTCTTGTGCACCAAAGCAGCTCTTGTTATATTCTTTTGTCTGACAAAAGTGTTATATCGGTACAGATGAGAACATATTAAGAGCAAATTTGTGATATATGAAAAGATCATCAAAGCAGAACAAATCAGGGGTGTTTTTAACCTGAATGTGTGCAACATCTGAACTAATGTTCAGATTTATGTTCCATTGCATAAATCTAGCGTAGTTGTGAGCGCTGCATGACGATGTAGCTGTTAGCGCTGAAGCCCCACAAATACGAAGGTCTCTGGTTTTACCCTGTTTCTCACTTTAGACTGCTGGGATTGGCTCTAGCCACACCAGGGTCCCAAACGGGACAAATCAATTGGGGGAAATTAAATGGACTGCAGAACGGAGCTTATTTAAAAATGACTTTACATTGTTAATGGCAAACAAAATGTATAATGCATTACTCAGGCTAACAAACTTATTGCATGATCATCCTGAGCAGATGAAACTGTTTTGCTTCTCTTCATCATGTGAGGTGTCCTGCAGGCCTCTGAGTTTGGGGAGCGATTCCTAAGGTCAGTGTGAGTTTGGTTCAGAAATAAAAAATAAAAAATAAAATAAACACTTATGCTAAGGGTTAGGGTTTGGGACCGAGGTGGGGTAGAGGTAGGACAGCCGAATGGGGACCAGAAAGTCTTGGTTCGACTCCCAGACATTCCCACATGTTGTGGTGCCTCTGAGCAAGACACCTAATCCCTATTTGCTCCTCGGGTGCTTACATAGCTGCCCACTGCTCCACCTGAGTGTACCTCAGGTGCAGTGGGTTAAATGCAGAGAACTAATTTCATCATTGTATGGGAACATATGATGATGAGAATCTCAGACTCCCCCCCAACACCAGTCATGTTTTTGCTAAAAAATAAATAAATAAAATAAAAATAAAACGTTCCATAAATCTCAATAAGTTCTGGAAAACAACCTTTCATTTAGCAGGTGATTTGACAACACAACCATTTTTCACAACTTCACCTGATCGAGGCACTTCAAACTAAGGCAGTCAGTAAGCAGGAGCAACCACTGGGCATTAGGTATTAATTGGTCTTTAGTCTTTTATATTTTGGCCACAAGCAAAAATGGGAGTTATGATTTTCTCATTGTTTCTGCAGGAGTAAATAAAGAAATCTGTAAATCTAACAAGGGCATTTTTCAAACATGGGCATGCTTTATCTTATTTGTCCACAGGCAAATATCCGCAGCCATCAACAACAAGACAAGACGATGTCATTGATGTTCTAGTCTTAAAAGTATTGAACTGAGACTGAGAGGTGGTGGTGATGGTGGGCAGGGACTGCGTAGGGGGTTGGCATGATCGTATTATGACCAAGAAACATTTGAAGCATTGATATATGTTCAGACTACATAAATAAATTTGTAAAGAAAGGAAGGGAACTGGATATGACTCATTTAAATGGCCCCTCCTTTTTCCCAGGAGAAGGTTCTCTATATAGCCTGATAAGCTCGCTTCCGGAGACATATTGGTCTAATCTGACTGACAGCCAGGAGACGGTAGTAACCATCCATAATCTAAATAGGAAGCAGCCAGCCTGTCCAGCACCGGACTGATATGACCTCAAGGTGTTCAGTGAAGATAGAGGAACAAGTTCAAAGGATGGAGAGGTATCAAAACCATAAGAAACATGCCTTCACCACATGAACTCACGAGAGAATCAGGACATGTAAAATACACGAAGGTGTTAAAAAAAAAAGCAACGCTATAGGGAAATGTGAGCTTGTAAATGCTACATATTGATTAAAAAAAGCTATTTTAAATTAATTTGCTTTGTTTATTCCATTTATTACAGAGATAGCGGTGATGCATCTCAAGTGATCTGGAAACGTATGATGTTTGTAAGAGTTTAAGAAAAAACAACTACTTTAAGTCAGTGAAGGTGTTAAATGTAATGAAATTATGTTGTGAAAAGTCTTCACAAGCTGACACACAGGATCAGAGAGGATAAAATGGAAATTAGATCAAACAGCCATAATGCAAATCGTCACATTAGTTCAGCAACTAAACATTACTGAATGTGGCACAAGGGCCATTACAGTAGAATTATTAATCAATTAAGTTACCTCCGAAAACAAAAGGGAGCCTATTGTTCTTATTGAACTGAGGTGAGTAAACTACATGTCTACCTGTTTTATACACTACTTGTGTATTCAGCCTTCAATAAAGAGAAAATACATTTACAGTGCCTATCCATTATGGTTTAATGTGACGAAGTTAACATGTAACATTTTCAGTGGTGCCACTGAAATGTTTACTTGACATTTCGGTGTTGTTTCCTTACATTATCATTAACTTTGTAACCCCATTATGGTGTTGATGTGTCTACAATAAGCTGGCTAAGAGGTCAGTGCAGTTGCTGCAGTAACTGTAATTCTAAGAACAGTGCACCACATGTTTTTGTTTCTTATTTCTTAATCAACGGCCTCCGAAGATACAAAAGTTCAACATCTCTTATTTACTTATCCAGGACAATTTAATAAGTTTTACTGCCTGAGCAGCTGCAGCTCACATTGCATAACTTTTTCATTCCTTTTCTATCTCTTGTCACTTGCCCTTGGTCCAAGACAGGTTGCCAGATGAGCTTATAATGTGAGTAGCATTGAAAGACAGTAGTCAGATACGTTGCCCTGATTATATTACCACATATTATTTAGGATGTTACAAGTTGGCAGTCACCAATATAATATAGACAGAGTACCAAAGTTCTGCTACAAATAAAGTTTGAAAAATCTTGTCACCCGTAGACATTCGCTGTCATTCAGGGCCATGACAAGGTCAAAAACAATAGAAGTAACGAAGAATATTCCCATTAAGTTGTGTTGTATCAAGAATGACACGCAGCTGTCACCGCTCATACTGGTGGCCCAGACTCGCACCGACAAACTCTGGCAGTAAGACCAGTGCTAGTATGTTTTGAGTAACTTCACAGTATGTAGCAGCAAATAGGAAACAGAATATTTTATTCAGGAAACAATGGTTAAAATATGAAATTACCACTCCAAACTGTTTGATTTGCCACAGATCTCTGCTTATTTTCAGTAAGTCACTTGAAGCCTGCAGTGTGGTTTCAGCCACAAAAAGACAGAATTAATTATCACAGTCAACTTGCCAAAAAGCAGCAACGCAAGGCATTATAAATAGTTACAAAAGACTAGTTTTAATATTATGATTTATATGTGACACTGTTAAGTCTAAATGGGTATTTGTTTCTGGCAAAAGAAAACAAAAAGAAAAAAAAAAGAGTTAAGGAATAAGAATGTTTAAATGAGTAAGAGTTGTAATGTGGCAC